CAGTGTGAAGATATGTGTACCAGGTCCTCGTTGCAAAAAGGGGAAATGATCTTCGAATGGTTTTTACACTTATCTGAGCTCTTGAATCCGTGATTCGGGGCCAGAGCATCAGAGATAGGGAATGAGCAGTGACATATGGCCATGTTTTAGGCTCTCTCACCACGCCTTGACTGTATACATCCTTGGCTGAGAAGAGGGTTGCGCCATCTGGCGTTGACGATCAGTGGTCAGACCTCTGGCACCTCTCATCAACATTCAGGTGATATGCCTTCATGCTGCTCTACTGGCTGTTTAACATGTTTACTTTCGTAAGACAAATTATTCTATTGTATGCCTAATCCTGGAACGTCTGTGCGTTCGTTGCTATCTGCTTCAAGGCGCCTGTGCCTAGCCTTTGGCGCCACGCCCAAAAGAGTCCGTCACAAAATGCGAAATGTTCGTTTACCAGTGCTGTGCAGGGGACTGGACAAAACCATGTGAAGAATTATCTAGGTTTAGGGGAGCTTCTTTTCGCGGTCCTCTGTCTGGATCATTCTGACCATATCCTCCTGCATTTTAATCACCCTGGCTGTCCCGAATTACTTGATTTGGCAATTGTAAAACCTTTGACCTGTTTGTCCTCCTCTTCTTCTTCTTCTACTTCTACTTCTCCCTTTTCTTCATCCTCCTCCTTCTCCTCCTCCTCCTCCTCCTCCTCCTCTAAAAGGGAGTTCTGTTTTTGAGACAAAAAATGTACACTACCATGCGTTAAGTACTTAAGTACAGTAGGTGGGCTAACTCATGAAATGTCAACGGAAATGCGTTTTCTTTTCGAAAATATTGATTAAATAGCGTTCTAAAACAAATCAACCTGCAGTAAAATTCTATAATAATTCAGTTACCTCAGGATGCCGACTTAAGAAGGAACTTCCTTCCGGCTGCATACCAAAACGATACTATGTAAACAATGGCTACTTAAGTAGCATGCATTTTTTCATTGATTTTCGATGCCTCTAAAAGTCCAATTATATTTCATGGAAAACATGAGTAAAAATATTCATTCTTTCTCTCATTCGGTAGCCAACTACGTTTTCTTCCCATTTTATACGCAGAAGAGGGACAAAATTCAGTTTTAAAAAAGTTTCTAATTGTGAGACTTTTAAATACCGTTCATTCATATACTAATTCGGTAGGAAATTACGTTTTCTTCCAATTTTATACTCGAAGGAGGGATATACTTCGGTTTAAAAGTTTCTGATTGTGAGAGCTTTATCACCCTGAAATGGCCGTTTAAAAGACGTCGTGTCTCTGCATTTACCACTGTGGCTTATAAAGTTAACAATATGGCTCAAATCCACTGCTAAATTTCCCGAACCCCATATGGTCTCCTCGTAATACCGTAGCGAAATGTATGGTTTGCCGTACGCGGAAAATATACGTCTCATAGTTTGGAAACTGTGTAACGGCAGGTTGGGTTCAAAATTATTCGGGAATTGGTAAAGTTTTGAAACCCAAATATTACCCTTCTTTCCAGTATAAATTAGAAAAAGACGTCATTTTCTGCCAAATGAGCGCAAGTCTGATGATTTTTATGTATGTTTTCTATGAAATATAATAAGACTTTTAGGGGCATCGAAAATCAACGAGAAAAAATACATGTCCCTAGTGTAGTCATTTTTAAAGAACATAGTTCTTGCATGCAGCCGGAAGGAAGTTCGTTCGAAAGCCAGCATCTCGAGGTAACTGAATGATTATAGAATTTTACTGCAGACTGATTAGTTTTACAATCCTATTTAATTAATATTTTCGAAACGAAAACGCATTTCAGAATTTTGGTTGACCTTTCATTATTTAGCCCACCTACTGTATGTAGTGAAACTTCCCGGGAATTGTATACCCGTCAAGGAACGTAAACTAACCCATAAACCGTGTGTTTGCCTTCGATGCTCTCCGTACTGGGTTGCAATTGGGGAATGAGCACTATGGGAAAGTAGCTCTTTGCGTGTGACAGATTTCACGGTTACCCCTGCACGTTGCGTTGTGTGTCGTCCTTACGCAACATCGAGTCTGTGTTCATAATCGACCCTTCAGTAACGCCTACTCGACGAGACGAAAAATGAACTGACAGTGGAAGAAATCGACGCAAGTGGTTTCACTTTCCTGGCATTTTCGCAACAAAAGTTGTGTTACGAGTGGCGTGGCCAGTCTGGAACTCTCTTCCGAGAAGCAGCAATCCACCGCAGATTTTAGTCTTTAAGAAACTTTATTACAATGGAAGTGGGCGCTCACCGATCGTTCTTACGGAACTCACTCATTCCGTTGTGCCTTATGGGCTGTCCTCGAGCCCAACCAGCAGCCGCACAGCGGCGCATTATATAGGCAGACTGCGAAAATGAGAAAGTCGGAGGCAGCCAAAAAACGTGTGCTGGGCCCTTGTCAGCTTCCAGTTGCAGATGCAGTAAAAATGATTTCTGTTGCTTAAAATATTTGGGCTATCTTAAAAATTCACCAGATTTTAGAATTTACTTTGTAATTTTCTGAGTAAAACTGACTTGGAATTGGGGTCGCGACTAAAATGGCGCCGGGTCAAATGAAGGTCTGTCTTGAGAACCATACGCAGTAGACGTCAATTATTCACACAGCCAGACGGAACGTCCCGGCCGCCCAGAGGACATCAATTTGAGGGCGGGACAGGGATCTTCGGTTCAAGACCGTTCTGGGGCGTTCTTTGCCTGGCAATAATTTGCTTATCTCTAAGCTGTCTTCTGGGATAAAGTTCTTTTCACTGATCTATCCCAGTGAAATTATTCGTGGTCGGAGCCTACTTTAAAATGATTGAAGCTTCCAGGAAACGTCTGCTTATAGATCGAAAATTTGATTGCATTTGACTTCTTTTAATTCATCTATAATGTCCTTGTTGGCCTTTAGCCGTAGATAATGCTTGGTTGCCTCTTTTTCTAGCGATTTTCATGGACTTTTATCTGCGTCAGTCAGCCGAATTGACATTTAAAAGTGCTGGGGAAGAACTTTTTGTTTTACACTCTCTAACAAAACGGCCCTCACGATAAGTAAGGACTAGGAGGCAATTGCCTGTCTCTTGTTAAATTCCAGACCCAATTGATGCAATCTACTAGACGTCATTTCGTGATTTTGGTTATAAGGATGTAGTCCAGCAAATCTAGTAAAAGCGGCTTCAAATGAAACTCAGTGTGGTCGAAGAGGGGCTGGACTGGCACACAATATTTTACTTTAATGGTCCGACTCCGGTGAGCCTACAAACAACCTACAGACATTAGTTGCAGCCCAAGAACATGTTTTTAAACATGCACTTTTGCCGTCGCTTCCATTTTAGTGCTGCTTCGTGCAAAAGCGGTGGCTCGTTTAATTTTCATTTTCAGACACGCAAAAAGACACTTTCTGGAAAAAGTTGCGCATTAGTTGCTATGAATTTTTATCCCTTTTAAGCTCTGTGGAATTAATAATTATCTTGAGAAAGGATGAGTGAATAGCTGTTTTCTCACAGTAATGTGAAAGCACATTTTTTCTACCCTAAATTGTGCAGGTAAAAACACAAGAAGTATTTTCTACCAAAGGAACTGAACTGAAGTATTTTTGGAGCGAAGACCGAATTTATTCAGATGTTTAGTGTTTTTTATTTATAATTTTTATATTTCTTTGAAGATGTCACGATGATAATTTTCCATTACCTAGAGCAGAATATACTAAAGACTAAAATATTAAACATTTTGCTGATGGGCTAACAGTTTATGTAGTAACGTATAGAAGCTGGAGTTTCTCAAATATTAAAGTGTTATCTTCATAGATTTGGAGTTATAAACTGTAGAGTAGATGTGCTAAATCATGAAATGTTGACCAAAATGCTGAAATGCGTTTTCATTTCGAAAAGCTTACTTAAATAGAGTTTTTAAATTAATCACCGGGCTGCATGATTCTATAATAATTCATGTGCCGCGGGATTTTGGCTTATTGACGAACATCTTTTCAGCAGTAGAAAAACGGCACTTTGCAAACAATGACTACTTAAGTAGCATGAATTCTTCTCACTGCTTTTAGATGCCCTTAAAAATTTAACTACATTTTGTGGAAAACATGCATAAAATTATTTATTCCTTTAATCAGACGGTAGACAGTTACGTCTATTTCCAATTTTATACTTGATTGAAGGGTATAATTCGGTTTTACAAAGTTTCTAATTGGGCGATTCTTCAATACCGTGAAATGACCGTTCATACAACATCATGCCCCTGCATTTACTAGTGTTGCTTTTAAAGTTTACATTATGACTCAAATCCACTGGCCAATTTTATAAACCCCACATGGTCTCCTCTCAAAACCTTTGAGAAATCCATGGTTTCCCGTACGCAGAAAATGTATGTTTTGTAGTTTGTAAACCCTGAATGCAAGTGTAATGGCAGGTGGGGTTCGAAACTAATCGGGAATCGGAAAAGTTTTTAAAACCGAATTATACCCTTCATTCAAGTATAAGATTGAAAAAAATGACGTAAGTTTCTACAGATTGAGTAGAAGAATAAATATTTTCATGCATGTCTTCCACAGAATATAATTGAATTTTAAAGGGTATCGCAAATCAATGAGAACAATTCATGCTACTCAAGTAGTTATTGTTTGCAAAGGGCCGTTTTTCCTGCTGCTGAAATGCCAGCACCCCGCAGCAACTGGATTATTATTATAGAATCATGCGGCATTATGCCTTAAAACCCTATTTAAGTAATTTTTGCGAAACGAAAACGCATTTAAAAATGGCGACAGATGAAACCAACGGACACGGCACTGACCCGGTTTTATGGATTACCCAAAATCCACAAGCCCAATGTTCCCCTTCGACCGATCGTTGCCTTGAAAGGCAGCCCCCCTTACAATCTATCCAAGTGGATGGCCCGAAAACTTAACTTTCTCCGAGAAGGCTCAAGGACTTCCATCAATTCGGCCTCCAATTCCTGGTCGACATCCGACGAAAAGTTGTCCGACCGGAGCAGATCATGGTGTCCTTTGCCGTGGTTTCATTATTCACGTCCATCCCACCGGACCTGGCACGCGACGTTCTTCGCAAACGACTCGAAGAGAATTACAACGAGACGAACAAACTCCTAAAAATCGACCACATAATGCAACTGTTTGCTTTCTGCCAACAAACCTTCATCACCTTCAATGGCAGAACATACGAGCAGATCAAAGGAACGCCGATGGGTTCGCCAATATCCAGCCTGGTTGCAGAACTAGTCCTGCAGGAACTGGAAAAAGTCGCCTTCGACCACTATGAACCTGCATTTTGGCGCCGGTACGTGGACGATACGTTCGTCATAATTGAAAGGAGCAGACTGGCCGACTTCCAAGACCTGCTCAACGGCATCTTCCCAGACATCCAGTTCACAAGGGAAGAAGAGCATGCCGAACAGCTGCCTTTCCTTGACGTTCTCGTCACACGCACACCCAACGGCGAACTCAACACCACGGTGTACAGAAAGGCGACTAACACGACTCAGATTCTCAACTACCACAGCAAACACCTAATGGCGCATCAACGCAGCTGTGTTAGGACACTCTTCCAGAGGGTAAAAACGCACTGCAGTGAACCAGAGGGACGAGTACGAGAACTTCGGCATCTTCGGGACCAACTGGCAAGGAATGGATACCCGAACAGCTTCGTCAGCCGCTGCCTCCGCACGCGCCCACGGCGAACAAACGGAGGAGAGCCACCAACACTCTGGCACCCTCTGCCATATATAAAGAACGTATCCGAAGCAATGGAACGTATCGCTGGAGAGCTCGGCGTGGGTATCGCTCACCGTCCGACAGCGACCATGCGCAGCAAAATCATGCAAGTGAAGGATCGCCTAGACGTGGGTAAACAATCGGGCGTCGTCTATCAGATCCCATGTTGGGACTGCCCTCGCCACTACACTGGACAAACCGGACGACGACTTAGCTCACGGATAACGGAGCACAAACGGGCGGTCCGGAGAGGCGACCCGTTGTCTCAGGTCGCCACTCACACCCTGGAGGAAGGCCACGAATTCAACTTTGCGAGCACGCGGATAGTGGCGCGGGTCAGCAATAAGACAGGACGAGAACTGTTAGAGGCCTGGGTGTCTGACACCAACGCTATCAACAGGCACGTTGATATACCCCCCTGCTATCACGCGCTCCGTTCCCGCGGCCAATGGGCGAGACCCAATTTCCAGCCAAGGGTGCACGCAGTCACGCCACCGTGAGACGGCGTGGGACGCAACTTATCGCGAATACCACCCTCTGCACTCATATCTCCCCCCCCCTTCATGGCGTGACTACAAAAACCACTCATTTGATGTTGCCTTCTCACAGTCTCTGACGATGGCCTCCTGTACGAGACCGAAAGCTCAGACTAATAAACCCACTGTCCCAGAGATCGGGTCTTCATCTTCTTTACAGCATTTAAAAATTTCGGTTAACATTTCATGAATTAGCGCGCCCACTTTATTTGACAAGTGGAGCACCAATCAATCTGAAATAGGGATTTCTGGGAATGTGGAGTTCTAGCAATAACTTTGTAGGGCGTCATAGGGTAATAATCTCCAAAAGAACGGTTAATTGTTATAGATACTGTACATACTTGCCGAGCTTATTACAGTGAGCTGGAGAAATCGTCAGTATTATCATAAAATTTGAGTCTCTATAAGATGCCAATACCTCAACCCAAATACTCCATGTTTTATTTGATTCGAAACCCTGTAAATGATTGTGGTCGTGTCTGAGAACAGACAACTGTCAGACGATACAGTAATAGGAGGCAGGATATACGTATTTTTCTTAACATATATATATATATATATTAAAGGTATAATACCGTACTCCCAACATAGATACTTGCTAAAAACCCAGACAAGTGTTTTGCCGATATTCTGCCGCTGCATGAAACAGCTGCGAGGAGTTCGGCTCTTCAGTGGGACCCCCAGCGTTCTCTAGTGGTTTCTGGTATATGAACTCCAGAGAATAATCAAGTGAGTAATTTCAGAAATTAATCAGTGCAGGACTTGGAGTTAAATCTCCGGGACGTGACATTTTAGGGTCAGAACCGAAATTTCAATGAACAGTCGAGTCGAAGACAATCATATATATGTGAAAAGAGAAGGTTCTTCGAGTGAACAATAACCGAAACCCCTAACACCAACGTCGGCGCATTGCTCCTGACCTCATCCTGCATCAGCAAACAGCCGCCCTCATTCCCACTGATCCGCAATTCGCCCGCTCTTTCTCCACCTCCAACACACGGAGCCCTAACGGTACTTCCTTCCCTCTCCAAACCCCACAGCCTACCATAACTTGGTGCCCACCCCCTCACTCATCAGCTTTCTGTTTGTCGTTGTTTGTCCTCTCTCGCCAGCCGATCTAGTCCGCCGATCTCATATTCTCCTCTGTTCATTTCGTCTGTTGACGGTTCGGCGTCATCAACTTGAAAATTTACGAGTACAACTCGATTTTCCGAAAAGCCTTCGCTTTTTCGTTATATCACCTCAGAATGCATATCACATCAGTTATTCATATATATATATATATATATATAATGTTAGGGGGCGCTCACCGATCGTTCATACGGAACTCACTCGTTCCGTTGTGCCTTAAGGGCTCTCTCTCGAGCCCAACCAGCAGCCGCACAGCGGCGCATGATATATAGGCAGAATAGTATTACCGACAAAGACAAGGGAGACTGGAATGGCCATTTCTGGCTTATTTGCCGTCGTCAGCCAGCCATACCCAAGCCCGAAGTGTGGGAAGTGTGGCATCCCAAGAAATATAATTAGAAAGATGAAGTTCTTTGGGAAACAGCAAAATTTTATTGTGAATTTTCGAGACTGGTTCCCCAGCTCGTCTTCAGACAATGGGTGTGCAAAAACAATTAACTTTTAGCCTGAGTCTAGCAAAAGGAGTCAATGATTGGTTAAGATTGTCATCTCGGGATTGGCTGACTCAGTTTGAATCTGTCCTTAACGATTTTGTATGCGGCATCTAAATCGATATGCCGGTTGATGCATGCCACATCTGAGTGCATTGCTTCCAGGAATTCGCGGCCTTTTCTTGATTGGCAGGCGCCAACAATGCGAGTGTTCTCCCATGCGAATTTATGCCCAGTGTCTAGTGTGTGCATGGCCACCTGGGATAAATGGTCGCGTCTCTTCACCGCTAACTGATGCTCATGTAAACGGGTTGAGACAGATTTCCCAGTTTGGCCACAATAAACGGCATCACAACTAGAACACGGGATTTTGTAGACGACACCTTTTCTTTCAAGGTAGCCGACCCTGTCCTTAGGGTGCACAAGCTGTGTGCGTAAGGTAGTTGCCGGCTGGTGTGCTACGTGTATCTGGTACTTTTTCAATTGTCTTTCGACAAATTCAGATACATTTTTGACGTATGGGAGAGTTCGCCATGTGGTTTGTTTTGCTGCCTGAGTGGCCGTAGCATTGGAAATACCTTTTCCCTTGAGTTGCTGGTACCTCATACATTGACGTATAAAGTCATGCGGGTACCCATTTTGGGAGAACAGTTTGTAGAGGTATTTCATTTCTGCTCGATAACTTGTTTCGTCAGAGCAGTGGGTTTTGGCTCGATTCAGAGGCTGTAGACTGTACTCCGTTTGTGAGAGACAGGGTGGTTACTCTCAAAGTGTAGGATGACCTCTGAATACGCCTCTTTGCGAGAAACTGATGTCTGGAGTGATCCATCGGTTTTTCGACGTACAAGGACATCCAGGAATGGGAGTTGTCCATCGACCTCTGTTTCCGTGAATCCCGTGAATCCAAACACGGGAGAGCCTACGACGGACCTACACGTAGTCACACCGCAAATCGGGCCTGACGAAGGCGCAGTCATCAATACTGTTGCCTCAACTACTACTCCGGCAGACGGGAGTAACGCGGTCAGAGGGATACTATCAAGACTAGCAACCCAGCACGACAATTAAGGTCAACGCGAATGCGGGCGATGGCC